GCATCAGACTGTGGGGATTTCTTTTCAGCGGCAGGGACTGGGAGACTAGTCAGGATCGAGGCAAAGATGAACGGAGCAAAGTACAGAGCAATCCTTGATGAATACCTGCTCCAGAGCGCTCAGGACCTCAGACTGGGGGCGAAGGTTCACCTACCAACAGGACAACAACCCTAAGCACACAGTCAAGACAATGCAGGAGTGGCTTCGGGACAAGTCTCTGAATGTCCTTGAGTGACCTAGCCAGAGCCCGGACTTCAACCTGATCGAACATCTCTGGAGAGACCAGTTGTGCAGCAACGCTCCCCATCCAACCTGACAGAGCTTGAGAGGATCTTCAGAGAAGAATGGGAGAAACTCCCCAAATACAGGTGTGCCAAGCTTGTAGCGTCATACACAAGAAGACTCGAGGCCGTAGTCGCTGCCAAAGGTGCTTCAACAAAGTACTGAGTAAAGGGTCTGAATACTTATGTAAATGTGGTGTTTTTGCTTTGTCATTATGGGGTATTGTAGATTGATAAGGGGGGGGGGGGGGGGGGGGGGGGGGGGGACAATTTAATCAAAATGTGGAAAAAGTCAAGGGGTCTGAATACTTTCCGAAGGCACTGAACGTCATTTGAAAAATGTATATGCCAAATCCATCATTTTATAAGTAACATACTCATTCATGTTAGTCTATACAGATGAAGGAAATACCGTAAGTCTTACAAGTAGGTTTAATTGATCATAATTATAGTTTTATTGCTTGAATCATTTGTTCTTCCACATTTTACATTAAACTGTTTGACACCTGTATCTAAGTGCTTATTGAATATGAACCATGTTTGTCGCTTGAAATATTGAATCAAATGTGCCAACAATATTAAAAACATATGTTTTTAATTAAATTAGCCCACTGAATCAACACATTTTACAGTAAAACATGGACTAATCCTAAAATTAGAAACCCAGAAAATGAATATACAGACGATTAACATTTTTCCCAAGACTGATCAAGATGGATGCTGGCATATTTGGGATAGAAAACATGACATCAATAGTGACCCTGATTAAGAGTGTACCATCATTCCGACATCCACTACAGTCCTCTCATACTTCAGATACACCTACAATACAATCTTGTTTGATTATACCACTCAAGATTACAACAAATATAATCTGGGTATTTTATCACTGCAGTATCTTTTAACATTTATGAACCCAGTAATCACTAAGACCACAAAATCAAGTCGAGTAAATTTTGCCCAAGTCAATAATTTAAGCTTCAATTTGTACACTGTATCTATCAAGAATACATTCTATAAAGGGCTGCAATGTATCCATTTATCAGTAAAATGGCAGCTCTGAAATTTTGAATAATCTCATCCCCAGGCTCAATTGCTACTGAGCGTGTCGCCTGGTGGATGATACTTTGTGAAAAGCTGCAAACTAAACGCAGCATTAGTTTTTGCAGAAATGCAACTGCAAGACACAAGTAACTTCAACATTGCATTCTCTCACAGTGATTATTCAATGATTGATAAGTTCATAATCAGTTTAAAATCATTAAATATCATAAAAAAACAACACTAAATCATCACTTCGTTAAAAAAAGGTCATAATAAAAATGTCACTCCACAGACAACTGTAAAAACGCTGTCATCTCATTAACAGCTTAATAGTAAATACACTTCATTATTATTTGACTTATTCTCTCAGCGATATAATATACGTCACTGTTATTGCATTTTCATTTCAATATGATACAAATAAAAAATCTCTTTAATGAATTAGTTACAGAGCAAAAGGAACTCGGAAAGTGATCAGATAGAGAGATCCTATGCTGTGCCCTTTCATAAAAATCATTCAGTATGATGACAGATCATTGCATAATAATAATGCGTTCATCATACCTTACTTATAATACCTGGCACCTACATTAATTAAGTCAAAGAGGTAGAGCTACAAATACAAGTATATACATGTATTTCAATCCCTACTACAGATAATCGTAGTTGGAGTCCTCCTGTCTCTTATAAAGCTGATAGAAACAACAGATATTATTAGGAAAACAGTTCAAATCAGAAAAGTTGATCAGTTTCACACAATGGGAAGGAAAATAGCCAAACCAACATTTTGAATCAAGAGCAAAATGTTGTTGTTTTTTTGCATAGATAGAGATGAAATAAATATGATAAATCAGGTGTGAAGGGGTAAGAGAAAAGACAGAAAAATATTAATATACATGAACAAGAACAAGAACACTATAATAGGCCTATGCTGGAGAGTAGAACATGAACAAATAATGGGATTTTAAAGTTTGATCTGTTCTGGCTGGCATAAAATAGTACAGTCCAGTTTAACATCACAGCTCCATAAGATTTATATAAGAAAGTATGTTGTACTTAATGAGCTAACAGGCAGTTATTATGAATACATAAAGCATTGTATTAGTTTGTGAATGCTTTATAAATCATGAATACCTTACCCATGAATTAGCCATAAATGGCTAACAAAGAACTTCACAAAGTATTCCTTGGTACAGAGCATTAGGGCAATTCCATGCCAGAGTAGGCAAAAATATTTTCAGGCTACGTTGCCGTGGAATCTGCCTTTTTTAACATTTTTTTATACAGCAAATGAAGAATTGTCAAATGCAACCCCTCCCCGTCTCACAAACATTCACATCTCCCGTTTCACAAGGGTCCCTCCTATACTTCTCACTCTCAAAACAAAGAATTCTGTCGGTTTTCTTCAATTAAAAACATGTACTTCAGCAGGACATTAAAAGGAGTACTATAAAACAGTGCTACAGTATAAAATAGGCTGCTGTAGGAGTCTGTGGTTACATCCACAATGGCATCCTATTCCTTACCAGACCTGGGTTCAAATACACAGCCCCAAACAAGTATTTCATTTAATTTACATTTCAGTCATTTAGCAGACGCTCTTAAGTACTTTTACTTGAGTATTCAAATGGTTATTTGCAAAAAACTAATAGTTGACCAAATTGTATTTGAAAGTATTTTCAAATACTTATTTCAAATAATATTTTCATATTGCTGGGTTAAATACATGGGAGTGTATTTATTTAAGTCTGTGAATTTTAGTATTTTCAAATACTTACCAAGTGTATTTCCAAATACATTCCAATATTCAACTGCTTGTTTTTTCAAATAAAGGTTATCTGAATACATGTTTTGAAATGTATTGAAAAGTAATTTAAATACCTGAAATAGTATTTGTACCCAGGTCTGTTCCCTATATAGTGCACTGCTTTTTGACCAGGGCCCTATGGGATTTCAGACGCACCCCGTGTTGTATTGAGTAGTGGTGTGCAGGTAATGCTGCTGGTTCTGCTGTGTTGTTTGAACAGTAGGACGGGTTGGGGTTAGACTAGAGGGACGTTTCAGAACCCGGAGCCTGTTTTTTCCAGAAGAAGCTTTTGTCCTCTTGCTCCAGGTCTATCCTAATCTGAGGCACTGCTTTTCTTAACGGATTCAGACTGAAAGAGAGAGAAAGAGAGGGGAGGGGGAGACAGAGAGAAGTAAGAGAGAGTGAACAACCAGGGACAGCAAAGGAACAACATTAATATGACAAGCTGTACTCTATAATAGATTGTCACAGCATGTGATATTGGTGTGAGTGTCTGTGGGTATAAAGTAAGGCATGCAAGCAGGCACAGTTACCTTGCAACAGTAGTGGGCATAAAGTAGTCCTCAGCATGGTGAGTGTGGGTCAAGGAAAGACGCCGGGGGTCCTACGGGAGAAGACCAAATGCACACAACATTGACATAATGTTTTAGTCACTTCAATATTCCCTCAAAATATTCTCCCAATTCAGGACAGGTATAGCAAAAGAGGAGAGTTAGAGCAAGCTTTGCAAAGCCATGATGTTTCACAGTAGAAGCAGCTGTTAAAGGCCGAGTGCAGTCAAAAACATGATTTTCCTGTGTACGTATATTTCCACACTATGAGATTGAAATAATACTGTGAAATTGTGAAAATTATGATAATGCTCTTTCAGTGTAAGAGCAGTTTGAAAAGATGGCCGGAAATATCAGCGATGTGGTAAATTAGTTAGTAGACCAATAAGAAAGAGAGTTCCAAACCTCTCTGCCAATAACAGCTAATTTTCAGTTTTCCCCTATCCACTCAGACAGTCCTAGCAAAATTCTAGCAAAATTCTTGGTTTGAAAACAATCACATTAAGGTGCCTAATTATTACCCAAAAGAATATTGGATTTTTAGATAAAAACAGCTGCATTGGACCTTTTAATTAAGCGTTCGAAAGCAGCTTAAAATAAAAGAACAGTAAGAAAGGATTAGAAAAGTAAGGTCATCTGCATTAGTTTCTCAAAATAAAGCTGGAGGTCTGCAAAGTCAGAGAAAAGCATGAGATCTGATGAAGACCCAAAAATGAGGTTAGTGCTTCGTGGAGAGAGAGAGAGGAAGGGAGGGAGAGATTGATTCTCAATTGGGCAAAAGTCCATACTCTCCTCGACTCCTCCGTCTTCCTGGAGGAGAGTGGAGACTGTCAATTCGTTAGTAGGAGGAGTACGCTCCATTACTCGATTACCTACTTCGGCAGAGGATGCACAAGAGTATCCTCCCGGCGGCAAGTGCGGAAGTGTTTTAAAATCCACCACACCGCCTTTGAATTAGCTGTTGTTTTCTCAAAGTAGAAAAGTGTGCACACATTTAAAAACGATACGCTACTTATCATTTTTCTATAAGAATGTCTTGCACAACTAGCTAAATTAGTTTTTAGCACTTTACACATTTATTGTGGGATTTGTTTTGTTTCCATGTTTCCTCTCCTTGCCTCCACTCCCTTGATGGAAGACAGGACGCAAGGAGTCGAGCAAAACTAAATGAGATTCTCCCAGAGGCAAAGAGCGGGAAGGGGGCAAGAAGATAAGAGCGAAACAATTCCAAGAAGGCATTTGCAGCACTCAGTAAGTAAGTAAGCACAGTGCAGTTGTGGGTAGGAGACCCCATGCAATCCTGTTGTACTCACTGTCTGAGGCCTTATCCTTATCCCCCAACATGGGCTCCGTCTCCATTATATCCATGGAGATTTTAATACTGGGGATATTGTCATTGTAGGGGTACTCAGAGGGCTGGAGGGAGAGACAATAACAATGGCTATATTTTCTGCTACTTACTTAAACTCATTCAACATATTGGCAACTAATTACTTGGGTCGTATTCATTAGGGCACACAGTAGCAAAAAAATATTTTGCAATGGAAAACCAAAACGTGTGTTTCTCATTGGACAAGTTCAGGTAGTCCTTACTTGTTTCATTGCCTTTTACTTCTGTTTGGTACCTAATGAATACGACCCATGTATTAACTGTAATGTTGTGGAGTGGTGCTCGTCTTAAAGTATCCCAAGGAAACAAACAAGTAATTCATAATGTCATTCGTGCTGTGTAATTAACCATTTTACAATGTAGTTTCTACACAAACACCTGGTCATTTCTGTACAGTACCTCAGTGGAAAAGACAGTGCTCAGACAGACAGACAGAGTGTTCATTTCAGTACCGTAACATAAAGTGCTAGACAGTTCTCACTTGGGGAACAGTGTTCACTGAAGGGATAGTTTCGGAGAGCGAGATCGTTTTGGACAGAGGGTGAACACAGGTGAAAAAAATGGAGGATTTGAGGAGTGGTGGACTTTTAGGAGGGACGACAGGTCATGAGTTAAGTGGCTAGTGTTCTACAAAAATTAACATGCTAGTACTACATTAGTACTACTACTACTACTACTACTATTATTATTACTATAAGGTAGAACCCTTGGGAAAAACACATGAAATTAAGCAGTCTGATCCGCTTCCAATAAAGCCTCAAAAGTACGTACAAAATCGATTTCACTGTCGATGCTTCCTTTCTTCTGTTTCTTCTTCCTCTTCTCATCCTCCTTCTTCTTCTTGTCTTTCTCCGGGATGACGTCATCCAGGTAGCTGAGGTCGTGCTGGGAGAAGATGTAGTCCATGGCCTTTCTGACCGCCACCAGGGCCAAGATCTGGAGAGACGGACACAAACACACATCAATGGAGATAGATAATGGTTCTACTATATACTGTGTTGGTGGGTATGTGGCTGGATTCATTGTACAGTATGTGTGTTTGTGTCAGCTAGTAACGGTTTCCACACTGTGAGCGGATGTGTCACAACCGTATGTTACCCATCTGTATGTTTAGGAATGGTTTATTATTGGTTAATTGGTACATTTAATCTTGTAGGTGTACTTACTTGCATGGTTGTGTGTGTGTGTGTCTGACTGTTGCACACATACCTGTGAGTGTGTGTGTCTGTGCGTGCATTTGTATGTGTGTGTTTGTGTGCACGTGTGTGTTGCATGCGTATGGCTCACCATGACGGGGAAGATGATGGCAGCGACGGTGGACTTGAGGACCCAGAGGAGGGCGAGACAGAGGGCCTGTATGAAGGTAAACAGGTGGATACGACGCTGGGGAACGTGGCGCAGGTAGATCAGGTCAGGCTGGTGCTTGGCTGGCATCAGGAGAAGCTGCAGGCGATCCATGAACTGATGGACAGACAGTCGTACAGAAGTAGGGCCAGAATACATGGGTTGGGGATGTGACTGGCATCACACACACTATTATTGATGGACTAATATAACTAACAGGCACAGAGTTTCAGACTCCATTTTGACTCTGTGTTCTCTGACTGACAGTTGTACCGCGGTAAGGCCCAGATACATGGAAGCGGCAGTTAATAGCACTAACAGGCCTAGAATTTCAGACTTAATTTTGGGTCAGAGCCACTCACCTGGACACCATTGAGAGATGCCACGCCCATGTAGAGGAACACGCCATAGAGCACAGGCATGGGGATGAACTGGGGAGACAGAACAGGAGTGGCTGAATGACACAAAGGAAGTAATAGAGGCTGTTTTCCACAGAAACACAACCAACAAACATATTCCTTCCTTTTTCAATTTTTTAGGACTGATATGAAGACATGTCTTTTATCAAAAAAGAGGGTTAGGATTAACCCTGTTTTCAATAACAACAGTGATAACTTTTGATGACATGTTGTTTTGTTAGCTCTCAAATAAATCAGCAACTTGTTTTTGCAGGTTTATCGTCCGTTAGTCTGCACCTCGTTAACCTTTTTGGTGTCTTCAGCTCCTACTTAATTAGATGTTGTAGAACAAAACAAAACGCTCATTTACTCTGAGTAGAAGGTGATCAATGTGTTTACAGTCAGAACCAGCCTAAACTAGTAGTCAGTTGACATTGCCTAAGCACCTTATCTGGCATTACTAGAATGTGCAGTTACTAGAGCTGACCTCTCGAGTCGATCAGGTATCAAATCAAATCAAATGCTGTAACCCTAATCCCCAGAGTCTACTACCCCACCCCTACACTGTAACGCACACACAAATACCTGCACACACACACACACACACACAAGTGTAAGCTCACACAAGACCCCCCCACATACACACACTACATGGCTCGGGGAGCTAAGGGATGTGAAGAGACTACAGTAGACTACACTGGAAAAGACACCATCTCAGAGATAGAGATGTCACTACTCCAAACGGTCCACAAGGGGGAGGACCATTCCCACTCACAGCACTGGAAAGTCATTTATGACAGTCAGATTAAGGAGAGAACAGGAAACCGGAGAAGTCATATTCACTGAGCTGCAACCTGACCCTAAGCCCCGATGATGAACACGCTTATTTCACATCACATCAACTAGGCTCCTCACTAATTGGATAACCACAATAATTCCCATTATTTACAATTGGAATGAGTGATGGGATTTCCCACTGAAAGGGGAGAACAGTAATCCAGTAAATTGAGAACAGAAAAGTTAGATTTAAAGGAATGAACAGGTAGATTTGTGGTCCTGTGAGGCTCAGGTAGTGGCAAGAGCAATGTCAGGATTGTGGGTTTGATTCCAGCTAAGGCCACTCATATGAAAATGTATGCAAGCACCACTGTAAGTCGCCTTGGATAAAAGCGTTTGCTAAATGGCATATATTATTATAGATTTAAAGGGAATTAATAGGATGGATTTAGGGAATGGGTAGGTACATTGAAAGGTAAAGAGCCAGTAGATTTAAAGGGAATTGGGGAATGAACAGGTGTATGAAGCGCTACCTTAAGGATAGGAGCCATGAAGACAGACAGTCCAGTCAGAACGAAGACAATGACACCGGTCACTCTCTGCTCCCTGCGGTAAGAAGGCATAGTTCATCACACATCACATCATACAAACACCACATCAACCACAGTCAATTTTCTAACTTTTTTGTCCACTGTTCTGATGTGACAATCAAAAAACTTCATCATGTTCATGTACTGCTACAAGATTGTAAAATGTATTCTATTTAATCTTAAACAAAATGTGACTATGTGGGAATGGCAAAGTGAAACTCAAGGCCATTGTACTGCAGGCTACATGTAAAGGAGACAGGAGTCTTTCTGCTCTGATAGCTCTCTTCGCTTCACTGACTCTTCTTCCATTCCTCCCTTCTCACCTCCCTCCCTCCCCTCCCTGCTCACCCACCTGACACCCAGGAACTTGGGCTGCTCCCCAGGGGCCGAGCACTGGGTCTCCATCTTCAGAGAGTCGATGTGGGCGATGGAGATGACAGTGGCAGCCACGTACCAGGGCAGGCCCATGAAGGAACACACGATGAGTAGTATTGCTACCCAGAACAGGTCCAAGTGGTAGCCTGCCCCTTTCTGTGTGGAGGTGGAAAGAGAGAAGAGAAGGAAATTGAGAGGTGTGTGTCAGTAACCACTAACCACAAGGAATCAAACGAGTTACCATTGACGTAACATCCCATACAAAGTGTTGTCGCCCCTCTGTTCTTTTACAGCTCATTAACTTTCTCTTAAGATACACTACATCACCAAAAGCATGTGGACATCCCTTCAAATTAGTGGATTCGCCTATTTCAGTCACACCCGTTGCTGACAGATGTATAAAATCGAGCACACAACCATGCAATCTCCATAGACAAACATTGGCAGTAGAATGGCCCGTACTAAAGAGCTCAGTGACTTTCAATGTGGCATCATCATAGGATGCCACCTTTCCAACAAGTCAATTCATCAAATTTCTGCCCTGCTAGAGCTGCCCCGGTCAACTGTAAGTTATATTATTGTGAAGTGGAAACATCTAGGAGCAACAAGTGCTGAAGCGCGTAGTGCGTACAAATCGTCTGTCCGTGGTTGCAACACTCACTACTGAGTTCCAAACTGCCTCTGGAAGCAACGTCAGCACAATAACTGTTCATTGGGAGCTCATGAAATGGGTTTCCATGGCCGAGCAGCTACACACAAGCCTAAGATCACCAAGTGCAATGCCAAGCGTCGGCTGGAGTGGTGTAAAGCTTGCCGCGATTGGACTCTGGAGCAGTGGAAACGCGTTCTCTTGAGTGATGAATCACGCTTCACCATCTGGCAGTCCGACGATTGAATCTGGGTTTGGCGGATGCCAGGAGAACGCTACCTGCCCAAATGTATAGTGCCAACTGTAAAGTTTGGTGGAGGAGGAATAATGGTCTGGGGCTGTTTTTCATGGTTCGGGCTAGGCCTCTTAGCTCCAGTGAAGGGAAATCTTAACGCTACAGCATACAATAACATTCTAGACGATTCTGTGCTTCCAACTTTGTGGCAACAGTTTGGGGAAGGCCCTTTCCTGTTTCAGCATGACAATGACCCGGTGCACAAAGCAAGGTCCATACAGAAATGGTTTGTCGAGAATGGTGTGGAAGAACTTGACTGGCCTGCACAGAGCCCTGACCTCAACCCCATCGAACAACTTTGGGATGAATTGGAACGCCGATTGTGAGCCAGATTTCTTCTGTCAAGATCAGTGTGTATTAAGTCAATATCTTATCTAATCTCTTTACCCCGCTGACCCAGAGCCCCTTCATCCTCCCACTCCTCACCTTGAGTTTGTGCTCCTTTCTGTTGACGATGACAGCAGTGATCTGCTGGTCCATGAACACCAGGATGGTGACCAGGAGAGCAGGGAGGGCTGCAGCCAGATACACCCACCATGGGTTCCCTCCGAACGGGGGCACGAACCAGCCACGGTTGGGGCTGGTGGGCTGGGGACCAGGAGCAGAGATAAATATTGTAGGCCAGGGTTGATTTAAACACACAGGACAACAGACTCTCACACACTTTATCCTCACCAGGCAAACATGGTCATGGTTTCAGGGTGTTCTTAGAAATGTAATGTTGTTGTTATGAGTATGTCATGACTCAATGTAAAATGTGATATGGTTGCCCCAACAATAACCTAAAACGTTTCCTCTCATTTAAAAAATGTAACCTCACGGAAACAAAACGTCCTTATTCTGCGGCACTTTGAATAAGATTCAAAAAGTCCTGGGGAGGTACAGTGAGGGAAAAAAGTATTTGATCCCCTGCTGATTTTGTACGTTTGTCCACTGACAAAGACATGATCAGTCTATAATTTTAATGGTAGGTTCATTTGAACAGTGAGAGACAGAATAACAACAAAGAAATCCAGAAAAACGCATGTCAAAAATGTTATAAATTGATTTGCATTTTTATGAGGGAAATAAGTATTTGACCCCTCTGCAAAACATGACTTAGTACTTGGTGGCAAAACCCTTGCTGGCAATCACAGAGGTCAGACGTTTCTTGTAGTTGGCCACCAGGTTTGCACACATCTCAGGAGTGATTTTGTCACACTCCTCTTTGCAGATCTTCTCCAAGTCATAAAGGTTTCGAGGCTGACGTTTGGCAACTCGAACATTCAGTTCCCTCCACAGATTTTCTATGGGATTAAGGTCTGGAGACTGGCTAGGCCACTCCAGGACCTTAATGTGCTTCTTCTTGAGCCACTCCTTTGTTGCCTTGGCCGTGTGTTTTGGGTCATTGTCATGCTGGAATACCCATCCACGACCCATTTTCAATGCCCTGGCTGAGGGAAGGAGGTTCTCACCCAAGATTTGACGGTACATGGCCGCGTCCATCGTCCCTTTGATGCGGTGAAGTTGTCTTGTCCCCTTAGCAGAAACCCCCCCCCCCCAAAGCATAATGTTTCCACCTCCATGTTTGACGGTGGGGATGGTGTTCTTGGGGTCATAGGCAGCATTCCTCCTTCTCCAAACACGGCGAGTTGAGTTGATGCCAAAGAGCTCGATTTTGGTCTCATCTGACCACAACACTTTCACCCAGTTCTCCTCTGAATCATTCAGATGTTCATTGGCAAACTTCAGACGGGCCTGTATATGTGCTTTCTTGAGCAGGGGGACCTTGCGGGCGCTGCAGGATTTCAGTCCTTCACGGCGTAGTGTGTTACCAATTGTTTTGTTGGTGACTATGGTCCCAACTGCCTTGAGATCATTGACAAGATCCTCCCGTGTAGTTCTGGGCTGATTCCTCACCGTTCTCATGATCATTGCAACTCCACGAGGTGAGATCATGCATGGAGCACCCGGCCGAGGGAGATTGACAGTTCTGTTGTGTTTCTTCCATTTGCGAATAATCGCACCAACTGTTGTCACCTTCTCACCAAGCTGCTTGGCGATGGTCTTGTAGCCCATTCCAGCCTTTTGTAGGTCTACAATCTTGTCCCTGACATCCTTGGAGAGCTCTTTGGTCTTGGCCATGGTGGAGAGTTTGGAATCTGATTGATTGATTGCTTCTGTGGACAGGTGTCTTTTATACAGGTAACAAGCTGAGATTAGGAGCACTCTCTTTAAGAGTGTGCACCTAATCTCAGCTCGTTACCTGTATAAAAGACACCTGGGAGCCAGAAATCTTTCTGATTGAGAGGGGGTCAAATACTTATTTCCCTCATTAAAATGCAAATCATTGTATAACATTTTTGACATGCGTTTTTCTGGATTTTTGTTGTTGTTATTCTGTCTCTCACTGTTCAAATAAACCTACCATTAAAATTATAGACTGATCATTACTTTGTCAGTGGGCAAACAAAATCAGCAGGGGATCAAATACTTTTTTCCCCTCACTGTACATCATTACACAACAACAAAAAACACTCTGAGTTAGTCTGCAGTTGCACAAAGCTGTGTCTGTACCTGCAACCATAAGGCCCCCAGTGTTCTCCCCATGTCCTATAATCACCTTGTTATTTGATGCACACACCCTCCCCACACCCCCTCTTACCCTTCCTCCACCCCCACATCACCCTTGCCCCATTCAACCTCCCCCCTCCCCAACCCCCACGCTCGATACTTCACCCCTCCTCACCCCCACTCCCTCCACCATTCGGCCCCAGTGAGGTAAGGTAAACTAAGGTAAGCTAATAATCTCAGTCACGGGCTCTGTATCTGAGTTTCAGGTTCTATCTGCTCTCCCTCCTTGGCAGTAGTACACAGCCAGGTAATGATTATACAATACTTTAATACAAGGATTACAAAGACTTTATGTCTGCCTAAGAAAATGCAGCATTGTTCAGGTGGAGATCTGATTGATACACCTGTCCCTGTACCGGATGGACATCATGAAAATGATCGGAGAGGTTGAGAGTAGAAGAAGTTCAGGAGCAAAAAATTAATAAAATATATATATATATATATATATATATATATATATATATATATATATATATATATATATATATATATATATATAATATAATTATTGTAAAATTAACTCTGTCCATAAGGTGTAGATAGTAAGTATAGACCGGAAGTAGAGGCCTGGGCATTGTTGTTCACTAATTTACTCCAAGTAGGGAAAGGATGGTGGGGTTGAAAAGTAATAAAGGGGAATATATATATAAAAAACATGGGGGATTGGAAGTGATGCAGACAATTACATTGATAGAAGATACAATCTATCTGCAATATTAAGCTGATCCATTCCACCCCCCAAAAAAATAAATAATAATAATAATAATAATAATGACTTTATGTCTGCCTAAGAAAATGCAGCATTGTTCAGGTGGAGATCTGATTGATACACCTGTCCCTCTTGTGTAACTCTAGAAAACGATATCATTTCAATATATCAATCAAAATCTGGACCAGAGTGTACTACATACACATTTGCTTGTACTTGAATTTAAAGCATCATCACTGAAGTGAATGTAGGTGTGAACCTGCGCACTATACAAAACAAGAACAGAGGATATAGTGGACAATATACAAAGCCAACATTTCTGCACAAGGCCTTTCTCAATACCACGGACATCCACCCTGGTACTCACCTTGAATTCAGTTGGCACGATGAGCTTGGGTGTGTCCACTCCGACCAGGGCATCCACACCACAGAAGATGACAATAGCCAGGATGATGGCAAAATCACTGATCAGTTTCCTCACCTGCGGTACAATAGGGAGGTACAACCATGTTGAGTTTGACAAGGCTTTTGGCTAAGGCAATGCAGTAAGACCTACCCTTTTTCGTCACACAATAATATGTTCACGAGAGTGGAGCAGAATGGTTCCCAGCTAAGCCATTATGACCAATGTAGTTTCATTGAGTACAGGTATTTAGCCAAAGCTTTGTTGGGGGAGATGATTATAATAAGGTTAACCAAAATGTTCCAATTATCTCAGATTTCACATTAATTTCACTGTACATATTGTATATTTAGATTACTGTTACCGTATTGCTCCATATATTTGAGCCATGTTTCCAAACATTGAAACCCTTTACTGTAAATTGGGTACTGGATTCATGTTGTGCACTAACCATGGTTCAGGCCCGTTCCTATGCATGGCCTACAGTAAGTAATGGAGGAAAGCTTCAGTACATGGCCTCCTGGGAAAGTTCAACCCACGCGCCCCACCCTCCCTCTGATCCTGCCCTCCCTCCCACAGTGCGGTAAATGAGTGGAATTTTTACGTCTACGGCAGTGCTTGACTTGGTCTAAAATAAGTGCCATTACTCATTTTGGGTGCCGGTACTGTTTATATTTAGGTGCAGGAACTGCACAATACTTTTGAGCTAATATTTTATGAGAGGTGCAGGAACTCAAGCAGTAGAAAATGTGTGGTGCGTTTACTCAGTACTGCTGAGCTCCTGCCCAAGTCCAGCACTGGTCTACGGTCCTGCCATGCTATAGGGTCCAAGCCAGCAATGCAGGACAATGAGACAGATAAGGCAGTTAGCAGAGAGAGTAGCGAGGAGCAGGGTAAAGTGAGCCTTGTTCTGGGCCTGTATTCAAAAAGAGTGCTGATCTAGGATCAGGTCCCCCCCCCTCTTAATCATTATGATCTACCTATATAAACACTCCTACTCAAAGGCCCCGGAGTCTAGAGAGGACTCTTGGCTAGCTTAACACACACTACTAGTGTAATGACTGTGTGTGAATGAGGACAAGAGGATGGGGCCCTCCTCCACTGGAGCAATACAGAGATGAGTACTGCCCATACTGTATACCAGGCAGTTCATCCACTGGTGTTTTGTTTATATTTAAGGATACAGATACACTGAAGTGTAAGTGTAGTGTTAGTGTATACCCACTCTAACAAATAGACTTACACTTTAGTACATCCCATTCCCCCTTGCACAGTGTTAGTGGTCAACATCTCACCTTCCTGCAAAGATTCTCATGGACATCTGAGCCTATCAACTAACCCGAGAATGTCACAGCAAGGAGGGGGGAGCAAGGAGCTTTAAAGCGATGTGCTGTACATCATGACCAGAGTATGTGAGCAGAGCTGGAGCGGAGAGTGCCCAATTTGACTGGAGCGAGGAGCGAGATTCCCAAAGGCTGGAGCGTCAGCCTTCTTGCCCGCTCCAATTTCGCTCCAGTAGCGCTCACTCGAGCTCAGGGCATGCCTGACTCAGCATGCATTTGTATTCTACTTGTGTGCTGCTATAGCCCCTTGCTTTAGCTACTGTCATGGAGTTCGCTAAATATTTTAATAAAGAAACTGATCAAACACACAGGTACAATAGGGCCTCCCGAGTGGGGCAGCAGTCTAAGGCACTGCATCGCAATGCTTGAGGCGTCACTTGAGGCGTCAACTGCATCTCTGCCCAGCCTGCCAAGAGTGGCCCGAAGGGTGTTTAGCATTCCCAGTGGCTCTGCAAGCGCGGATAGGATATTCTCCGCTGTTGGCCTGCTCTCCAGGCACCATCGCCAGACTCGTGTTTCTAAAAACAAATTCAAAGATAGCCATTATGCGCAATTTATAGGCTATAATGATTTAATACAACGAAATGTTGTTTAAATGCTGAGTTCTTTATGTCCCTACCAGCCTAGTGTCGCACTTGCAAATGCTTCACAATGTATTTCTTTGTAGGCTATAGCCTTGAAATAAATGAAGTAATATAGCCTAAATAATTCATTTTTGTTCCTTCTAAGGCTCCCTGTCTGGCTCCTGACCTATTTAGAGTGTTTATATACTGTTTAATACGACATGTAGCCTATTTGAAATGATGAGCACTTACATTCACCTTTTCATGTTTATTAAAATACTTTTTGTTCAAATCCATATGGTTTGGTTTCAATACATAAAAACCAAATGGTAGGTTCAGGTAGTTACAAAAATAAATGGGTGTTGGTTAAATTGTGATTTTAATGAATGGAGCGAATTTGGAGCAGCATTTCTTTTCCAGTAAGCGCGGAGAGGTTTTTAGCAGAGCAGTTGGAAAGGATGTGGAGCGCTGCACCACTCCATGAGCGATGAGAGGGATTTCCGACCGCCCAACTCCGCTCACATACTCTGATCATGACACATCGTTATGTACTAAAACCTGGAATAACAGAAGCAGTGGATGCTAACTGGGTCAAAAGGGTCAGGGCTGCCGGTGGTTGGATTTGTTCATCTGATGTAACCGGAGATTTCACTCCACTGAACCCAGACATGGATCATGGAAATTTGCCAAGAAAACATAGAAGGTAATGAAATCCTAGGACAGACATACAGTAGGTATATGGGCCTAACTATCACATGACTGCTGTAGAATCAACTCTATCTGTAAATATAGAGAAAGTAACCTGATTGTATTGCCACTGTCTGTTCACACAACTTACCTGTCCTATACAATGTTTTGACATTTCAATTTCATTCGCCCCTTTCCCTTTCTTAAAAATCAAGCCAACTCTGATCCTAAAACATGATTGGCCAGCGGGACAGTGAAACTAAGACCCTGAAACATGATTGGCCGACGGGGCTGTCACAACTTTGATCCTGAAACGTGATTGGCGGTTAGGGATGTCAGTCACTCACAGTGGTGGGGAAGAAGCGGCTGAACTTGAACTTCTTGAGACACATGGAGCAGGTGTAGGTCCCCAGGAAAAGTATGAATGACATCAGCGTGACGTCAGGGACGAAGCCGCAGGCCGGACCAATCAGCTCACCACCATACTTCACACACTGTTTCTTGTCGAGAGACGCCCATGTGGCGTTTACCGGCTACGGGAGAAACACAGACACACACACAAACATGCACAGACACAAGACACACACACAGACAAAACCATTACATCATGAGTCATGACTAAAGGATAAACTGAATATGTACATGCAGAATCTCCTAAATCCCGGGAAAAAAAACTTTTCACGACATAAGTGAAAGAAACATCTTTACTATTGATTTAAATATTGATTTAATTCAAATCAGTTAATGATAGCGTTGTCCATCAACAATGCGGATAACACTATCATAACCTAATTAACTCACACCAGCTCAGACACATTCCTGTCTGAGACACACTCAGAAATATAGATTTCCTTCAGACCTTGTGACTGAAGATGATATGGCTGTCAGAGAAGAAACACTCAAGTGACTGCTGCTTACCAGATCAGTATCGTTTATCCAGGAAGAGGCATCGCTATAGAGACCCGTCATATTGCCTGGAAGGAAACAAACCACAACAAAAACAACGACAGTGAGGTCTCCACAAAACCACTTTACGAGGTACTTGTCAAACTATAACATGCATTTTCCTTTGAGTTTTAAACACTAGCCTTTTGTCTGAATTGTCAAAGGAGAGAGGTGACGGTTGACAGGCTCAGGCATATGCAGTGTTACTTTAATCGGAGCCCCTGAGGATAAATCTTAATGCTAGTTTGGCTCAGTCACAACAACATATCTCCCCCCAACCATATAGTGCTGAGCGATTAGTGCTTTTGAGGTCGGTTCGGTTTCAGTTCGAATATAAAAAAATAATCACAGTTTTCGATTTTGGTTTTGATTATTATTAATTTTTTTTGTATTAAATGCATTATGCATTATGTGTGTTGAATCCTGTAAAAATACAGAATAAAAGTCCCATGACAGTAGTGACTGGCCATTATTGCTTATCACTTATTAACCAACATTAATTCACATTACTTTAATAAAATCTTTCAATTGTTATGTATATTCAATGTTTTATTTCCTTACTTTATTATTTCATTTCAAGTCATCTCATCTCATCTCTATACAGCTGCTGCCTATGCTGTCTGACAAAATCACTATTTTAGTAGTTCTTCAAAGTAAATAAGGCATACTTTTATGACTGCTGAATATCAACTATCAATCACTTAGATAATGTATTTTCAGGTGGAGATACTTTGCGAAGCAACTACTCTCTATCCCTCTCAAACACGCGTCTTCTGTCTCTTCTCTCCCTCTCCGTGTCTGCCCCACACAGACCGAACAAGTAGGCTCGCAATGGATTATGGTCATTGTAGTTAAATAACACGTTTTCTGCGCTAAACTATGTAGAATATTGGCCTGTTGGAAACTATAATTCCCTACTACATCGTACAGTTCGGGCTTGATCTGATTTATCTCCAGAGAAACTGCGCATTGAGCTCACAAAAAAAATAAGAACTAAATGGAATTCAACTAATTGAACCAATGTCGGTCAATTAGATGTTTAAAAAAACGAGTACAGACATTTTGGTTAATCGCTCAGTACTACAACCATAGAAACCTGCCAAGTCACTCACTAAACAGGACCTGGTAAAACTGTTGAGAGAGTACACAGTGATATCTCTTAAGTGAACACGTACTTGGACCATATAATTATCCCCAGTTTAAATATTGCGGAAAATTGTGTAACGCCTGTTTTCTGGGCTAAAGTGATGGCAATGGGATGTGAGCTCACCAACTCAAAGCTAGAGCAACACTGGCCAAACCACAGAACCAGAAAGAGATTATATATAACATGGGCCAAACCCTCTTCGGTAGCTACACCCCTGTTGTCACCTGGACCATCATCATTAGCACCTTCTGATCTGATTAGTTTAAACTACACAAAGGCCAATGAGCTGTGAGCACAGTGCTGATCAGCATACCGTCGTCCGGTAGGGGCATGCAGCGGCAGTCGTACGTTGTGACGTAGTTGGGGTCGTAGTCAGCGTTGATGGGGTTGTAGTGGGCCAGCTTCAGCATCTTCTTGAAGGCATCGTAGATGAAGATGAAGGAGATGAGGGATGAAAAGCCCTCCTCCGTGAAACGCGTGAAGTACTTGACCAGGAAGCTGGCGTCTGTGGCAACCAGCACCAGACAAAAGAAAGCTGACCACAGGCCGATCCACAGCCGGAACTCCAGGTAGTCAAAGTCATTGTCTCTGGAGGGAGAGAGAGAGTGATGGTACGACCATGGTTAGTTAATGTAAGAGTTGGCCAATCCACGACCAGAACTCCAGGTAGTCAAAGTCAATGTCTCTGTAGAGGGACAGGTGGGAGAGATGGTAGCACCATGGTTTGCTATTAATTTATTAACCTTTATCTAAAAAGGAAGTCCCTTCTAAGTCACTTGGAAGTTCCTATCCCAAATCGATGTATGTGTGTTTTGTGTGTATTAGAGACAGACAGAAAGATAGACAGATATTGTAAGGCCTGCAAACAACACCACTGACTCAGCAGTTAGTGAACCCAGTTGTGAAAACAGGGCATGGCGGCTTCAACTCAGACCCGAGCCGTGGAAAAATGGCGCCGTCGGCTAAGCTTTGGCAGTCTCCATTCACGTTATGACATTGAATGAGTGTGAATTATTCATAACGGAACATAACCACTCCAGTGTTCTCTGTAATGTAATGCTAGAAGATGGCCTTCTCTCTAGCATAGCAAGGAGGACGAAAAAAAAGAGAGGAGAAAGGAGAGAGAGGAGAAAGAGGAGAAGAGAATTCTGGTCTGGTCTGGCCCGTGTGGGAGCAGGTCTAGACCGGGGTCACATGACACCATTCAGTGGAGGAAAGAGGAAGTAGAGAGCAGGACACAAGGGGAAATGAAAGGACAATCGGCCTGGCAACGTGACCGCGGGCAGTTTGTTTGTTATTGTGAATAAATCGAAGGACTATTTGTTCTAGAAAATCAGATAGATACAAAAACTTGAGCCCAAAACAATGTGGCCAACATCTGACTGCAGATGAAATTCATATTGTTTATGTCTATCATGAGTATTATTTGTATTTTAGTTTTACTTGTTTTATATTGAAGGAAACACAGAACCTGTGTAAATAGAAATGCAATATGCAGCTTTTGCCAGAAGGAGAACTAAACACATTCACATGGTGAATTAGGTTTGGGTTTAGCTTTTTAGTGGGCACCATGGTACCCTTGAGCCAGTACCACATACCACTGGTAATCCTCACAACAACAGTCCAACTCTGAAAACAAATACTGGAGCAAAGCAAAACATCCCTAGGGCCATTATTGTTGCTAATTTGTTTTACTTCTATTGAATTCTCTCAGACATATTTCCCCAGTCATATGAGGTCATTTAAATATGAGAGTGAGAGAGAGAGAGAGACAGAGACAGAGACAGAGACAGCGACAGAGACAGAGACAGAGAGACAGAGATTATTTGTATTTTTTTGTTTATTTGATCATTTAAAAACAAGGTACACATACAAAATTATGCACTTGATTAAGAATCATCGAGGACAAACACAAGTCTACGACATGTCCATTGTGGTCCTCTTTCATGATAGCATTTGGCAAGTTTGGCATCTGTGGCAGAATAAAAAACAGCAGCTAAAATGGCAATTTGGTTACTTAGTAATATAAACACACAACATATACACTATACACAAAGGAAAACTATTTGGTCATCATCATTAAGCTAGGAGGGATTGCTCATAGAGGCACACTATCCATTAACCAGGATTTCACCTTCCTTTTAAAGCTACTCAGAGGAAGACTATTCCACCCAGAGGATCCTGAAAATAAAAAAGTACCTTTCCCTGTCAAGCTTCAGTATCTATTTCAAATCAAATAAAATTTTATTTGCCACATGCGCCGAATACAACAGGTGTAGACCTTACAGTGAAATGCTTACTTACAAGCCCTTAACCAACAATGCAGTTTTAAGAAAAAAAGTGTTAAGTAAAAAATTGGTAAGTAAAAAATAAAAATAAACAACTAAAGTGCAGCAGTAAAATAAAATAACAGTAGGGAGGCTACAGTTGAAGTCGGAAGTTGATATACACCTTAGCCAAATACATTTAAACTCAGTTTTTCACAATTCCTGACATTTAATCCTAGTAAAAAAAACTGTTTTAGATCAGTTAGGATCACCACTTTATTTTAAGAATGTGAAATGTCAGAATAATAGTAGGGAGAATGATTTATTTCAGCTTTTATTTCTTTCATCACATTCCCAGTGGGTCAGAAGTTTACATACACTCAATTAGTATTTGGTAGCATTGCCTTTAAATTGTTTAACTTGGGTCAAACGTTTCAGGTAGCCTTCCACATGCTTCCCACAATAAGTTGGGTGAATTTTGGCTCATTCCTCCTGACAGAGCTGGTGTAATTGAGTCAGGTTTGTAGGCCTCCTTGCTCGCACACGCTTTTTCAGTTCTGCCCACACATTTTCTATAGGATTGAGGTCAAGGCTTTGTGATGGCCACTCCAATACCTTGACTTTGTTGTCCTTAAGCCATTTTGCCACAACTTTGGAAGTATGCTTGTGGTCATTGTCCATTTGGAAGACCCATTTGCGACCAAGCTTTAACTTCCTGACTGATTTCTTGAGATGTTGCTTCAATATATCGATATAGTTTTCCTTCCTCATGATGCCATCTATTTTGTGAAGTGCACCAGTCCCTCCTGCAGAAAAGCACCCCCAAAGCATGATGCTGCCACCCCAGTGCTTCACGATTGGGATGGTGTTCTTCGGCTTGCAAGCACCCCCTTTTTCCTCCAAACATAACGATGGTCATTATGGCCAAACAGTTCTATTTTTGTTTCATCAGACCAGAGGACATTTCTCCAAGAAGTATGATCTTTGTTCCCATGTGCAATTGCAAACCGTAGTCTGGCTTTTTTATGGTGGTTTTGGAGCAGTGGCTTCTTCCTTGCTGAGTGGCCTTTCAGGTTATGTCGATATAGGACTCGTTTTACTGTGGATATAGATACTTTTGTTCCTGTTTCCTCCAGCATCTTCACAAGGTCCTTTGCTGTTTTTCTGGGATTGTTTTGCACTTTTCCCACCAAAGTACATTCATCTCTAGGAGACAGAACACGTCTCCTTCCTGAGCGGTATGACAGCTGTGTGGTCCCAAGGTGTTTATACTTGCGTACTATTGTTTGTACAGATGAACGTGGTACCTTCAGGCGTTTGGAAATTGCTCCCAAGGATGAACCAGACTTGTGGAGGTCTACAATTTGTTTTCTGAGGTCTTGGCTGATTTCTTTTGATTTTCCCATGATGTCAAGTAAAGAGGCACTGAGTTTGAAGGTAGGCCTTGAAATACATCCACAGGTACACCTCCAATTGACTCAAACTATGTCAATTAGCCTATCAGAAGCTTCTAAAGCCATGACATCATTTTCTGAAACTGTTTAAAGGCACAGTCAACTTAGTGTATGTAAACTTCTGACCCACTGGAATTGTGATACAGTGAATTATAAGTGAAATAATCTGTCTGTAAACAATTGTTGGAAAAATTACTTGTGTCATGCACAAAGTAGATGTCCTAACCGACTTACCAAAACTATAGTTTGCTAACACGAAATTTGTGGAGTGGTTGAAAAAATGAGTTTTAATGACTCCAACCTAAGTGTATGTAAACTTCAGACTTCAACTGTATATTCAGAGGGAACCGGTACAGAGTCAATGTGCAGGGGAACCTTTTAGTTGAGGTAATTGAGGTAATATGTACATGTGGGTAGAGTTAAAGTAACTATGAATAGATAATAAACAGAGTAGCAGCAGCGTAAAAGAGGGGGTGTGGTGGGGTGGGGTCGGGTGGGGTGGGGTGGGGTGGAGGGGGGTTAATGCCAATAGTCCGGGTAACCATGATTAGCTGTTCAGGAGTCTTATGGCTTGGGGTAGAAGCTGTTAAGAAACCTTTTGGAGCTAGACTTGGCGCTCCGGTACCGCTTGCTGTGCGGTAGCAGAGAGAACAGTCTATGACTAGGGTGGCTGGAGACAATTCTTAGGGCCTTCCTCTGACACTGCCTGGTATAGAGGTCCTGGATGGCAGGAAGCTTGGCCCCAGTGATGTACTAGGCTGTACGTACTAACCTCTGTAGTGCCTTGCGGTCGGAGGCTGAGCAGTTGCCATATCAGGCGGTGATGCAACCAGTCAGGATGCTCTTGATGGTGCAGCTGTATAACTTTTTGAGGATCTGAGGACACATGCCAAATCTTTTCAGTCTCCTGAGGGGGAATAGGCTTTGTCGTGCCCTCTTCACGACTGTCTTGGTGTGTTTGGACCATAATAGTTTGTTGGTGATGTGGACACCAAAGAACTTGAAGCTCTCAACCTGTTCCACTACAGCCCCGTCGATGAGAATGGGGGCGTGCTCAGTCCTCTTTTTTTCCCTGTATTCCACAATCATCTCCTTTGTCTTGATCACATTGAGGGAGAGGTTGTTATCCTGGCACCACACAGCCAGGTCTCTGACCTCCTCCCTATAGGCTGTCTCATCGTTGTCGGTGATCAGGCCTACCACTGTTGTGTCGTCGGCAAACTTAATTATGGTGTTGGAGTCGTGCCTGGCCCATGCAGTCATGGGTGAACAGGGAGTACAGGAGGGGACTGAGCACGCATCCCTGAGGGGCCCCCGTGTTGAAAATCAGCGTGGCAGATGTGTTGTCCTTCCGAGTGGCGCAGGACTAGAGCTAGAGATCCTGGTTCGAATCCAGGCTCTGTCGTAGCCGGCCGAGACCGGGAGACCCATGGGGCGGCGCACAATTGGCCCAGCATCGTCCAGTGAGTGGGGAGGGAATGGCTAGCAGGGATGTAGCTCAGTTGGTAGAGCATGGCATTTGCAACGCCAGGGTTGTGGGTTCGATTCCAGTATGAAAAAATAAAAATAAAATACAAATTTATGCACTCACTAACTGTAAGTCGCTCTGGATAAGAGGGTCTGCTAAATGACGTAAATGTAAATGTAAAAATGTTGTTACCTAACCTTACCACTTGGGGGCGGCCCAACAGGAAGTCCAGGATCCAGTTGCAGAGGGAGGTGTTTAGTCCCAGGGTTCTTAGCTTAGTGATGAGCTTTGAGGGCACTATGATGTTGAACGCTGAGCTGTAGTCAAAGAATAGCATTCTCACGTAGGTGTTCCTCTTGTCCAGGTGGGAAAGGGCAGTGTGGAGTGCAATAGAGATTGCATCATCTGTGGATCTGTTGGGGCGGTATGCAAATTGGAGTGGGTCTAGGGTTTCTGGGATAATGGTGTTGATGTGAGCTATGACCAGCCTTTCAAAGCACTTCATGGCTACATACGTGAGTGCTACAGATCGGTAGTCATTTAGGCAGGTTATCTTAGTGTTCTTGGGTACAGGGACTATGGTGGTCTGCTTGAAACATGATGGTATTACAGACTCAGTCAGGGACATGTTGAAAATGTCAGTGAAGACACTTGCCAGTTGGTCAGCGCATGCTCGGAATACACGTCCTGGTAATCCGTCTGGCCCTGCGGCCTTGTGAATGTTGACCTGCTTAAAAGTCTTACTCACATCGGCTATGGAGAGCGTGATCACAGTCATCCGGAACAGCTGATGCTCTCATGCATGCTTCAGTGTTGCTTGCCTCGAAACGAGCATAGAAGTGATTAGTTTGGTAATTCCCAGGGATGTAGCTCAGTTGGTAGAGCATGGCGTTTGCAACGCCAGGGTTGTGGGTTCGATTCCCACGGGGGGCCAGTATGAAAAATAAATAAAAATAATAATGTATGCACTCACTAACTGTAAGTCGCTCTGGATAAGAGCGTCTGCTAAAATGTAAAATGTAAATTTAGCTCGTCTGGTAGGCTCGTGTCACTGGGCAGCTCGCAGCTGTGCTTCCCTTTGTAGTCTGTAATAGTTTGCAAGCCCTGCCACATCCGATGAGCGTCGGAGCCGGTGTGGTACTATTCAATCTTAGTCCTGTATTGACTCTTTGCCTGTTTGATGGTTCGTTGGAGGGCATAGTGGGATTTCTTATAAGCGCCCGGGTTAGAGTCCCTTGTCTTACCGGAGTCAGCCGTTCTATCCTGCAGATGTAGCGTATATCCCTCCAGCTGCATGTTATCCATGTCGTCGTTCAGCCACGACTTGGTGAAACAGAGTTTAATGTCCAGTTGGTAGGACATTCTTGATCTTAGGTCGTCCATTTTGTTTTCAAATGATTGCACGTTGGCTAATAGGATTGATGGAAGAGGCAGATTACTCGCTCGCCATGGGATCCTTACAAGCCACCCCGACCTACGTCCACGATATCTCCGTCTCTTTCTCTTGCGAATGACAGGGATTTGGGCCTTGTCGGGTGTCTGTAGAATATCCTTCGCATCCGACTCGTTGAAGAAAAAATATTTGTCCAATACGAGGTTTGTAATCACTGTCCTGATATCCAGAAGCTCTTTTGGGTCATAAGAGACGGTGGCAGAAACATTATGTACAGATAAATTACAAATAACGCGAAAAAACACACATAATAGCACAATTGGTTAGAGGGCCGTAAGACGGCAGCCATCTCCTCCGGCGCCAACAGCTTACACAGACATTAGCTATCCTAGCTCTAGTGTTGTGGTTGTGTGAGCCTCTAACATGGGGAAAGTAATCTCAGACAAATACATAGGTGCTGCCCCATGGATGATCCTATGTACCAGACTAAGCATGGTCTGTGTGACCCTTGACTCAACGGGCAGCCAATGAGCTCCTTAAACTGGCTCCTACCAATATGAGTACGTGGGCTCAGATTCAACACCACCCTAATCAACTTGTGCTGGGCTATCTGAAGCTTGCTTTTTAGTAGATTAGCTAAGCCTTCAAATCAGGAGGTGCTAGCATAGTCAAAATGACAATGGATGAGCGCATTAGCTAGCACTTTCTTTGAATCGTTGTCCAACATCTTATACTCAGCTAGCATTGTAGCTACCTTGGCTACTGAAACACTTTAAAGGAGAAAGAGTTTGGTTAGACCCCTAGCTTGGCATAGTAGCTCTTGACTTGGTAATTCCCAAACAAACGACTGGTGGTGGGTAAGTTCCCAACCTACTTACTGAGGTAAAATATGAGATGAATTCATCATAAAATATGAGTTGAATTCATTAGCCACCACTGTTTTGTTGAAAACCACCTCACCCATAACGTCTAGTGGATTTGTTTGTGGCAGAGTTACTACATCCTAATTCCTTTAATGATTTCCACATCTTTTTGGGGTTGTTTTTGTTCTCTGCAATTGTGTCAGTATAGTACCCCCTTTTGGCTTCCACAGTCTTCTGAGCCTCATTCCTGAGCGCTATATATAAAATGAAGGCCTTGTTCCTTGATTGAATGGTTTCAAGGATTTCATGATTAAACGAAGGGTTGGCGCTCTGCTTTACTCTAACTTCCTAAATGGGAGCCACTGTGTTAACAACTCGGAGGAACCTATTCTTGAAAGCCTCCCTGACAGAGTATCAATATCTGTGGTGCTCATAATGCAAGAAAAAGAGAGAGGGTGACACTTACTTGCTGAAGTTGAAGAGGAGCCTTTCAAACACCAGTACAGGACCTGTGCTGCTGAGGATGGTGAGAGGCTGGCCAGCCAGCAGACAGAATAAGGCCCCTGTCACTGCTGTGCCCAGGAAACTTTCCAACACACCCTGGAGGGCAGGAGACGAGAGGGACACAGAGGGGCTGGTGAGTCAAAGAAACACACATACAGACAGAGATAGAAAAAAAAGAGATAGGCAGGTGGAGGCGTTTGTCACAAATCCAGGGAAAGATTAGTCTCCTGGTGGAGTTACTTAAAGGTCATAGGTCAAGGACACAGGGTAAACAGCGAGGGCAACAAAATCCAAACCACTGTTGCATATGCTTAAACCGAGTGGGACTGGACAGGAGAGTGATTGGTGGAGTGCCGACGGCAGGGTCTGGATCCAAACTACTGTTCTGGTAACCTACCCTCACACTTGGCTTGCCTGGCTACCGATCCACATTGCTCCGGCCAAATGCCACAGCCACTAATGTTTCTTCTCCACAATGAGTCTGGATGTGCTTCCTCCCCGACGACTTCTCGAATGTGAACACATTCAAACCGTTCTGATTGGTCCCAGAAACCAAATGGGTTGGGCCAGAGCCGGCCTACACAGATCATGAATCATGTCATTTGGACATCAGCCCAAACGACTTCTAGGAAAGGAGGTTCAGAGTGATGCATGGAGCGATCGATAGAGCAGCTAAAATAAATTCAGGATGAGACGTCAGGCAAACACTTGGCATCATCTAATGAGAGATTGCTCAACTTGAGAGAGTTTGCTTCTGTGTATGGATGAGAACTGGGGATTGTCAAGTGTGCAATTGTCTTCAGACCATACTATTTACCAAGAGAGATTTCATCTATATTCTTCATAGCTATTTACCATCACAAACCGATGCTGGCACTAAGACCGCATTCAACGAGCTGTATAGGGCCATGAGCAAACAAGAAAATGCACATCCAGAGGCGCGCTCCTAGTGCCTGGTGGTTTTAATGCAGGGAAACTGAAAACCGTCTAACCTCATTTTTACCAGCATGTCACCTGTGCAACTAGAGGCAAAAAACTCTAGATCACCTTTACTCCACACACAGAGACACATACAAAGCTCTCCCCCGCCCTCCATTTGGCAAATCTGACCATAACTCATCCTCCTGATTCCTGCTTACAAGCAAAAACTCAAACAGGAAGTACCAGTGACGCGCTCAATACGGAAGTGGTCCGATGAAAGAGATGCTAAGCTACAGGACTGTTTCGCTAGCACAGACTGGAATATGTTCCGCTATTCATCCGATGGCATTTACCACATCAGTCACCATTTTCATTAATAAGTGCATCGACAACGTCGTCCCCACAGTGACCGTACATACATATCCAAACCAGAAGCCATGAACATCGACACTGAGTTAAAGGCTAGAGCTGCCGCTTTCAAGGAGCGGGACACTAATCCAGACGCTTATACGAAATTCCGCTATGACCTCCGACGAGCCATCAAACAGTCAAAACGTCAATACAGGACTGAGATCAAATTCAACTTCGCCAGCTGTGATGCTCATCAGATGTGGCAGGGATTGCAAACTATTATGGATTAAAAAGAGAAACCCAGCAGCGAGCTGCCCAGTGACGTGAGCCTACCAGACAAGCTAAATTCCTTCTATACTCGCTTCGAGGCGAGCAACACTGAACCATGCATGAGAGCACCAGCTGTTCCAGACGACTGTGTGATCTTGCTCTCCATTGCCAGTGTGAGTAAGACATTTAAATTATATGATAAAAACATATTCCATTTTTTTTGGAACAGCAAGCCAGACAAAATTAAACGGGCCTATTTATATAATTAATATGAATTCGGAGGACAGAAATTATTAAATATTAAAGCATTAGACCTATCACTAAAAGCGTCAGTCATACAAAAGTTATACTTAAATCCGAACTGGTTCTCTAGCAAATTAGTAAAATTGTCTCATCCCATGTTCAAAAATGGCCTTTTTCCCTTTATTCCGATTACAACCTCTCACTTTCAGTTATTTGAAAAGGAAATAATCTCCCAAATATCACTATTTCTAAAACAAGCCATAGAAAGTTGGTTGCAATTTCAATTTAATCCTCCAGAAACGACAGAACAAATAATGCGACAGATTTTGTGGTTAAACTCAAATATAATAATTGATAAAAAGAGTTTTGAATAAAAATTTTAAAAAAGGTATAATCCTCGTAAATAATATCATAGGTAGGACTGGTAGAGTTATGTCGCACATGCAGCTAGCAAGAACATATGGAAATGTCTGCTCTACCCAAAATTACGACCAAATAATTGCATCATTACCGCAAAAATGAAAGAGGAAAGTGGAAGGGGGAAAAAGTAAGGAACTTGTCTGTCGGTCCTGCATTAAATAACATAATTGGTTAAAGAAAATTGTGATAAATGAAAAAGTATACCAGTTTCATTTAAGGACCAAAGGATTGACAGCCGTCCCATATAAATTGCAAAATAGTTGGGAAGAGATTTTTGACGAACCAATTCCATGGCATAGTGTTTATGAACTGATACGCAAAATGATTGGCTGAAGGATTGCAATATTTACCTGGAGCTAACCCTACAGATAGCACTACTGGGTGATCTGAAAAGTCATAGTCAATCGATCAATAATATAATAATACTTTTAGCAAAAATGTTTATTTTCAATTTACAATTTGTCTAAACAATGAGAATAGAAGGGTTCAGAACTTTTGTGAAACATCACAGTAAAGTTGAAAAATATATAGCAAAAATAAATCCAATAGGGATGGTGTTAAGAGATAGATGGGAGGTGTTGAATGGAGCTGAAGGATGGGACTAATAACAACTAACAACAACTAATAACAACAGGATAACTAATGTAAAGCATACTGTGTCCATAATAAGTATATGGGTAATTGGTTGAGAGCTTTTGTGAAAGAGCACAGTTAGAAAGATATTGCATATAGAAGGAAACCGGATGGACATCATGAAAATTATCGGAGAGGTTGAGGGTAGCGGAAGTTCAGGAGTAAAAACAAACAAAATAGAATTATTGTAAAATTGACTGTCCATAAAATGTATATAGTATGTATAAGCGGGAAGTAGAGGCCTAAGCGTTGTTGTTCACTAGTTTACTCCAATTAGGGAAGAGGTGGTGGGGTTGGAAAGTAATAAAGGAAAATATATTATTAAAAAGGATATGTACAGTTGAAGTCGGATGTTTACATTCACTTAGGTTGGAGTCATTAAAACTAATTTTTCAACCACTCCACAAATGTCTTTTTAACAAACTATAGTTTTGGCAAGTCGGTTAGGACATCTACTTTGAGCATGACACAAGTAATTTTTCCAACAATTGTTTACAGACAGATTATTTCACTGTATCACAATTCCAGTGGGTCAGAAGTTTACATACACTAAGTTGACTGTGCCTTTAAACAGCTTGGAAAATTCCAGAAAATTATGTAATGGCTTTACAAGCTTCTGATAGGCTAATTGACATCATTTTAGTCAATTGGAGGTGTACCTGTGGATGTATTTCAAGGCCTACCTTCAAACTCAGTCCCTCTTTGCTTGACATCATGGGAAAATCAAAAGAAATCAGCCTAGACCTCCACAAGTCTGGTTCATCCTTGTAAGCAATTTCCAAACACCTGAAGGTACCACGTTCATCTGTACAAACAATAGTACGCCAGTATAAACACCATGGGACCACGCATCCGTCATACCGCTCAGGAAGGAGACGCGTTCTGTCTCCAAGAGATTAACGTACTTTGGTGCGAAAAGTGCAAATCAATCCCACAACAACAGCAAAGGACCTTGTGAAGATGTTGGAGGAAACAGATACAAAAGTATCTATATCCACAGTAAAATGAGTCCTATATCAACATAACCTGAAAGGCCGCTCAGCAAGGAAGAAGCCAATGCTCCCAAACCGCCATAAAAAAGCCAGACTATAGTTTGCAACTGCACATGGGGACAAAGATCGTACTTTTTGGAGAAATGTCCTCTGGTCTGATGAAACAAAAATAGAACTGTTTGGCCATAATGACCATCGTTATGTTTGGAGGAAAAAGGGGGTAGCTTGAAGCCCAAGAACACCATCCCAACCGTGAAGTGGGGGTGACCCCAAGCATACTTCCAAAGTTGTGGCAAAATTGCTTAAGGACAACAAAGTCAAGGTATTGGAGTGGCCATCACAAAGCCCTGACCTCAATCTTATAGAAAATTTGTGGGCAGAACTGAAAAAGGGTGTGCGAGCAAGGAGGCCTACAAACCTGACTCAGTTACACCAGCTCTCTCATGAGGAATGGGCCAAAATTCACCCAACTTATTGTGGGAAGCTTGTGGAAGGCTACCCGAAACATTTGACCCAAATTAAACAATTTAAAGGCAATGCTACCAAATACTAATTGAGTGTATGTAAACTTCTGACCCACTGGGAATGTGATGAAAGAAATAAAAGCTGAAATAGATCATTCTCTCTACTATTATTCTGACATTTCACATTCTTAAAATAAAGTGGTGACTTTATTTTAACTGACCTAAAACTACTAGGATTAAATGTCAGGAATTGTGAAAAACTGAGTTTAAATGTATTTGGCTAAGGTGTATGTAAACTTCCAACTTCAACTGTATATGTATGTAAACTCAGAAAAAAAAAGAAATGTCCTCTCACTGTCAACTGCGTTTATTTTCAGCAAACCTAACATGTGTAAATATTTGTATGAACATAAAAAGATTCAACAACTGAGACATAAACTGAACAAGTCCCACAGACATGTGACTAACAGAACTGGAATAATGTGTCCCTGAACAAAGGGGGGGTCAAAATCAAAAGTAACAGTCAGCATGTCTTCCCTGTAACGCACAGCGTTGAGATCGCCTGCAATGACAACAAGCTCAGTCCGATGATGCTGTGACGCACCGCCCCAGACCATGACGGACCCTCCACCTCCAAATCGATCCCGCTCCAGAGTACAGGCCTCGGTGTAACGCTCATTCCTTCAACGATAAACGCAAATCTGACCATCACCCCTGGTGAGACAAAACCGCGACTCGTCAGTGAAGAGCACTTTTTGCCAGTCCTATCTGGTCCAGCGATGGTGGGTTTGTGCCCATAGGCGACATTGTTGCCGGTGATGTCGGGTGAGGACCT